TGTAATGAAAAATATATGTATTTTTTAGTTTTTTACGAGTTTCGTATCGTGTTCGGATTAGGCGGGTCAAACCTGAAAATTGACATGTGTTTTTCGTGTCAATTTCAGGTCGACTTAATTCTGACCCGAACCTCTTTTTTCTCAACCCTAACCCATGAAATTCGTGTCATTTTCGAATCGTGTTGTCGTATCGTGACCCATATTATCAACCATATTTTGGATTATTTTTTAATCATATTTAAATTTTGACCATATTTAATACAGACTTAGCCCTATTTTAGATTATTTTTTAATCATATTTAAATTTTGACCATATTTAATACAGACTTAACAGTTAACAAACAAGAACATCATTGTTCTAAAAAAAGACGAAATATCAAAAAAAGTCTCTATAAATGAATAAAAACCAAGTCTGACAATACGGATATGTTTATTTTATGCATTTAAAAAGGTTTAATTTTAGTATTTAAAATTTAAATTTTTATGAGAAAAAAAATAATAAGAGAATTAAAACTAAATTTAAATACAACAAACACGAGAGCCCCGCACGATTTTTTTGTCGGCATTATTTTTGTTGTCAAATTTTGATGGATTTGGCAGTAGGTGTTTTTGGGCTTTGTTTAATATAGAACTCGGGTAGGGTAGAATCGTCTTTTCAGAACAGAGAATGACGACCCTTCACGGACTTTGGTAGCCAACTGACACGTGGCATAATTAAATTTAAACTAATCAGCAAAAAGAATCTCAATTTACAATTTTTAACCTCCACATGCATGTCATAACTATACATGCATACATACATACATGATGGCGACGATGATGATGCGTGTTAACATAAGAACATGAATATGGATCTGGGCCGGGTTTAATGGTAAAAATATATTCCTGAAATGGGATTGGGCCAGGTGGGTAGTGGGAAAGATTCGAGCTGCTGTAGATCAAGAGAAGCTCTCTGATTGGCTGATGGAGGAGCAAAATATCTAAGAGGGAAAAAGCCTTAAGCGCGTGGAGCGTCTTTTGCCAGATATTTCTGCTCCTGAGTCCTGACCGTAATCCCTGCCCGCTCCCTTCCCAGCCACTAGATATTTCGATTTACCTCATCGTTAATCGAACATGCTTCTTCGGGCAGACCTGCCCCTTCTCTTACACGTGGAGCACTTAGTGTCTGTTTGTTTTTTACATTCGTTCATGATTCGAAATCATAATTTATAATTTTTTATAATATTTTTTTCTCATAAAATATACACATAAAATAAAAATAATTCTAAATATATAAACTAAACATCACTGGTACCCTCAATGTCTCAAAATGACCGATTGTCAGAGGTCGGAGAAAAAAAATGCTCGATACCTCGTTTTATGCCATGATACTTTTTTTTTTCTTTTTTTGCTTTTAACAATTTTTGTAATATATAATTTTTTATATAGATTTAACAATTAAAAATTAAAAAAATTACCTGTAATTTTTTTAATCTTATTAGAAAAATTCTCTTTTTTTTTTTTTTATGAGTTCCCAACATGTAGGTTAATTTTCAATTTTTTGTTTTATATATAAGATCTTCCATAGTACATGTTTTTAACTATTAAATTTAATAAAAATCACATTAAAATAAATAATTTTAAATTATATTTGATGATTAAAAATAGAGATTGATTATTTATTTTTTAAGTTATACCATAAAAATATCTTATATATAGATATGCGCACTTTTGCTACGATCAATATTTTCACATAACACATAAAAGTAATTAGAAACGTAACATAACGTTCATTCAATATAATATTAATGTTGGAAAACATAAAAAAAAAAAAAAAAATCTAATTATCCCAACTTACCATTACGTCTCTTTAATCTTAATGGTGAAATAACATATTGAATGAAGGCTGCTCTCTTTTTTCATGAAAGTGTTTTCCTCCTGGGAAGACCATAACAGCACCCTACAAATATTTAGCATATATTATCCTTTCTTTCAATAAAAGTAAATGTAAGAGCTAAAAGAATTAAAAAAATAATAATTATGATAGGGCACACCCTATTGATAGAACAAGTTTTCTTTTTTTCTACTTTTTTTAACCACTATTTTTTTTTTTTTTGCTACTCTGCTAAATGGATATTAATGTCAAATTTTCTGTAAATAGGCTAATACAAAGTGAAGACCAAGCAATGAATAACATCTTTAGGTTATTTTTTCTATCCTAATCTTTTAGAGTGCGTTTAGTTAGTGAATTCGTGTCATGATTCGTGATTCGCTACAGTATTTTTTCTCATACAAAAATACACGTAAAATAAAAATAATTCTGAATTATGAACCAAACGTCTACACTTAAATACCACATAAAAGTATACATACGTATTGCGGATATCCACATCATGCGTGTTTCCTCCACCCAACAGAAAGTCTGACTACTGGGGTTCAAAGTGGGTTTTCTACTTGTAAAGAATAGTAAAATAATAAGTTAATAACACAATTATAAAAGTCAACTGAAGTGGGAGACGTTGTGTTGTTTACTTGTTTTGTAATTTTGTTACATTTTTTTTTTTTTCCCCCCCTTGCTTAGTTAGTTTCATTTGCTAATTTTTGGCGTCTTATACGTTAATCGTGCTTACATGTGATTCGATTAATGTATCAATCAACCTTTATTCACCCCACAACTGAAAAATAAATAAATAAATAATAAAGAGAAAATTCCTACACGCTTTCTCTTTCTTTCTCAAACCAATTATGAAATCTTGAAACATTATATATATAGATAGATGCCGACTTAATGAATTGTAATCCTCACTTTTACCCTTCAAAGATTTAATCATTACAATATTATAAAGGGTTTAGTCAACTGGGCACCGCCAGATACATAAACATGACTAAAATTATAATTGACTTTAATAGTATGAAAGATGATATGCTCTTTAGCAAAAAAATAAAAAATAAAAAATAAAAAAAAGTATGAAGATGTGTATATCTTGTGTGATTCATCATACACTATCAAAGGATATATATGTTTAACATAAACAATCGTTAGGGAATAAAAACATAAAGGAACACTACTACTAATATATATATATATATATGTATTATTAATTTGGTCATAAAATCAAAATAAAAAGAGGAAATAAAAGACGGACATTCCTCCTGTTGGAGTGGTTTCTCTCAACACCAAGAATCCATCACGTCTTTACCGTTTCTGCCCCTGTCAAGAGGGCACTAAAGGTGAACCTGAAAAAGAGATTTATGTTAGTTTATCAATCCATTCTAAAAGCTTAAGTTATTAAGAGGTGGGCCAATAATAGTTTTATACTTTAACACTCCTCCTCATGTGTGGGCTGGACAATGGACAATCGTGTGGGTAAATTAATTAGAAAGCCCAACACGTGAATATTTAAACCCGAGATATATTAAAGACCCAACACGTGATGACAATTTAAATAGGGATAAATAGTACAATTACGGGAGTTTGAACTCAGGACCTCCCGCTCTGATACCATGTTAGTTTACCAATCCATCCCAAAAGTTTAAACTATTAGGAGGTGGGCCAACAATAATTTTATATTTTAACAATTTCGACACTCAAATACAAAGAATAACAAACTTTAGACATGTATATGAAATAGTGGAATGTGATTATAATTCTCATATTTATTATTAGTAACGTTACTAACCAAACAATTACCATGAGCTTGCTTTGATTGATCCTCATCAGCAGTTAATTGAGGCTTAAGGATTATTTTGGAATGTCCTTCGTCATTTAGAATATGTCATTATCTCAATCCCTTATTCAACACGCGATCTCAATCACGGATTAATGTATATCTTGATCTCGGTTTTACTTACAAATCGGTGTTATGATGTTGTATGCTTGGACCTCGATGTGTATACGTGTCCGCGCAACATCGAGGAATACCTTTGATTTTGATTCAAATATTTTGTTTCTAACTTTTTAGAGGACATGTGTCTAAATCTTTTAGGAAAAAATTCTCCAACACTTCTATTACATACAAATCACGAGACATTGAAATCAATAACTTAGCTAGTAGTCTCAAGCAAAATAACTTAGCTAGTACTTCATTTGAAACTCGATTAATTATATTTCTCAAAAACTAAATGTGCGTTTGGTCAGTGTATTCGTGTCATGATTTGAATCACGGTTCGTAATTCGTTATAGCATTTTTTCTTACAAAAAAATAACGTAAATAAAAAATAATTCTAAATCCATGAACCAAACGTCCATTAAGTTTCAACACACATCACTAGCAAGTAAAAGGGATGGTCTTCTTGGCAGAGAATGCTAGGAAATGTTTCTATACCAGTCACTATTCACATTATATAAGCTTAATTAGCCCGTAAATAAAAAATTAATATTTTGTGAAAGTGTTCTGACCAATTTTAAAATTTGGGAAATAAAAAATGAAAAAAAAAAAAAAAAACTAGTCTACCTAGAGTATCATGCACCGCCGCAGCACGGTACCAAAACTCCTTGCAAAATATCTCGGAGTCAAGTGGGTCCCACTTTCCCAAACCAACCGGCCTTTTCCTATAATAGTAAACCGTAGGTTGTCAACTTCCATTATGAATAATTAATCATTCAGAGCTCCGAAGGGCGATTCGGTAAATTCACGTGACCACTTGTTCGTTTCTCTCGGCGCTTAGTGCTAGCTTTAAGCACCTTTCCCCAAACCCCACTTGGCATTTTGACCATTTTTGACCCTTGTGACTTGTGACGAGTAATACATGTATTATGAATGTAAACATATTTATATAGATGTATCATGTGCATGGCATATGGTGATGGTTAATCATACATGGCATAACATGACAACTAGGCCCATAAGGCGAGAGGAAAATATCAATGCCACGTTAGCAGCAAATCTTAAGAGATGAACTAAGAAGCCTCCTAAAGATCTCCTCCTCCTCCTCCTTGTTTTCATTATTCTCTCTCTGCCAAATATACTAACACAGCGTCTCAAAAAAAAAAAAAAAAAAAAAAAAAAAAAAAAAAAAAAAAAAAAACATAGAAATAAAGTAAAAACCATTTCATAAACCTGAATTTTTCTTCTCTCAGAAAGCTTTTTTTCAGCAGAAAATCAGCTCAGCTCACACAACAACAACATCTTCAGGTAACCAAAAAAAAAATCATTCTTCGAGATTTGTAGTTGCTGGTTAAATTTTATTTTATTTTATTTTGCTGAAACTTTTTACTTAATTTTTGAGGTGCCCAATTTGTTAGTTTTGAAATTAACTTTAGTGGGCTGGTGCTGAAGCTGGTTTTTGATAATGGGTGAGTTTCTTTTCTTTCTCAAAAGCCCCCTTTTTTTTTTTTTTCGTTTTAATCTTCCTTTTTTTATTGATATTATTACTATTATTATTCTGTTTTTCTGATATTAGATGCTACGTTTTTTTTTTTTTTTAACAGACAGAAATCAGATTGCAATAAGAGTTTTTTAGGAAGGTTGGGGTTTCTCAAGAGGCAGAGACTAGAAGAAGTTCTGGGGAGATTTGATAAAATAAAGACGATTTTTGTGTTTGGGAATGTTGAATTACGAAATTTGGATTCTTGATTGGTAGTTTTTTTTTTTTTTTCCCCTTCTTTTCCGGTTGTTGGGGTTTGAAAGGTGCTTTCACTTTGTCCATGGCTGATACCCGTGAGAGATGGATTGATCGTCTTCAATTCTCTTCATTGTTCTGTCATCCTTCACAAGATGCACACCAAAAAAAGGTAAAACCCCATTTCTTATAATTTTTATCTGAATTTGTATTTGTTAAAAGATTTTCATATATATGCCTATTTGTGCATATATATATGCAAATGTTTTTTTTTTCCCTTTTTAAGAATCCCCTGCTTGGTTCCTTTAATGTTAAGAGTATGGCCTGATAATCTTATAAATAATATTTAATAAAAAAACATAATATAAATACGTCTTGAAGGTCTGAATTCATCAAGATGGATGAAACAAAGGAAGAAAATGGAAAAACCTTTAATTTTTTTAAATGTTAATTTTCATTACGCTTCTAAACAGTTCTGTGACTATTAACTCTGATTCTTAGCTTATCTAATTATATGCTCTAAGCATGTATTTTTCTGGTGGATTGAGTATTGGAAAACTTGCTCTAACAGAAACAAATATTTTGGCTTCATTGTGGATGCTGCTCCTCTTTTTGTTTCAATGAGTGGGAAGAATGTTTCGTGTTTGTGATTTCATAGTAAAAATTTGTAGAGGAAGAAGAATGTTTGTGTGAAACAATTTTTTAAATTTTTTTTTCTGCTTTTGCTTTATATATGTGACTGTAACTCATTTTCTCTTTTCTACCCTGTTGTTGTTTGTTCTTCTTGTTGCATGTATAGGCTCAAGTCATTGCCTATGTGGACTACTTTGGTCAATTCACATCTGAACAATTTCCGGATGATATTGCCGAGGTATGTTCTCTAAAAGAAAATATCTCTCTTATGCTAAAGAACTGGAATTAAAGATATTTTGTGAAACTTTATCAGATTTTTGTACTGATATATATATATATATATATTTTTTTTTTTTTATTTGCAGCTTATCCGTAACCGTTATCCATCAAAGGAACACCGCCTTTTTGATGATGTTTTGGGTACTGGTTCTCTACCAATGATGGTTTATTTGATGAATGGGTAGACCTGGTAATTTTATCATAGAAGATGTTTTGTTGTAACTTAAAGATGACTAATTTATTTGCTTAAAATTTCTTGCAGCTACATTTGTCCTTCATCATCCGGAGCATGGGCACGCTGTTGTTCTTCCGATTATTTCCGGTATCATTGATGGCACACTTGTCTATGATAGGACCACTCCACCATTTGCCTCTTTCATATCTTTAGTTTGCCCGAGCAGTGAGGTATGAGCAGATTAATTGGGTTACTCCCAAATATCTGTTTTATTTTTTATTTTTATTTTAATTCTTTCCAGCAAAATGATTTCCTCTCATTCTCAGATAAAATGCATTTTATGTATTGGTATTTCACAAGTTAGGTCGTTTTTCTTTTGTTTCATTAACTGTACTTTCTTATTCGTTTAGGGACATTTTCAAGAATTTAATTGTTTTTTTCCACTCTTCAGAATGAGTACTCTGAGCAATGGGCTCTGGCATGTGGGGAGATTTTGCGAATTTTAACTCATTACAATCGCCCGATATACAAGGTGGAACAACATTGTAGTGAAACAGAAAGAAGCAGTAGTGGAAGCCAGGCGACGACAAGTGACGGCGGGGAGTCCTCCTCCAGGACACTTCCAGTGCAACAGGAGAGGAAACCTATAAGGCCTTTGTCGCCCTGGATAACTGATATTTTGCTTGCTGCACCGCTGGGTATCAGAAGTGATTATTTTCGATGGTAAGTTATACATAAACTTTTTCTTGTTGAGCTTACTATTGTCATTTTTAAGACATCATCTACATTATCTGCTAATTGGGAGTCATGCATATGCGGTTAGCTGAGCAGCACCTGACAAACTTAAAAGATTAAAGAAAGAGACCATAAATCATGTTGATATACCAATTAAAGTGTAGAAAACCATAAAGATCTAGAACCTCCTCTAAGAGCTATAAAATTAGGAAAGAACACCATGTGGTTCCATGTCTAAGTCTAGAGATATAACTGAACAAGTAAAATAGAAAATCCTAACTTCTCTTATAAGGATTAATAAAAACTTGTCCTGGCATGGAAGATGGTTTACAGGGAAGATGTTATTATCTTGAAGCAGTTGGACATCCATTAGTCATGATTTCATTTTCACAGTTGATGTGTTTGATTGGCACTATAGTGGTTTTCATAGGAGGGTTATTTTATTGAAAATTTGGGAGAGCATTTAATTGTTCTGTTTCTTCCTTTATAAAGTCCCTCGTCTAAGTTTAATATATTTCTCCACACATTAACAGGTGCAGTGGTGTTATGGGTAAATATGCTGCTGGAGAGCTTAAGCCGCCTACAACTGGTTAGTTGGATCTTTCTACCGCAATATAAGCCAACCATAGTGTGGACAGTCTTTTGATAATTCTTTCGGAGACATTTAGTTTGCAATGCATGAGATAGAATTTAACTGAAAATAATTATTTTGAAATATGCATGAAGGTAAATGAGGTCCCATTGGGTTCATGGGTTCAAACTAGTGATTTTGATTATGTATTCAAATTTTGTGAGAGAATCCAATCGTGGGAACTTTTTAGATTTAAATTTTTTTTGTGAGAGAAAACACTGTAACATAATCAAAATCATGGGTTGGAACCCATGAACCAAACGGGACTGAATCAACAAGAATATTTTATTATAGTAAGAAAATTACATACCAATAGAACTCTAGTACTACATAAACTTGTCAAACTAATTATCAAAAAAAAAAAAAAAATTGTCAAACTGAAGACCAACTCACATTTATAGATTAAAAAATGTTTATACCATACAAAGTTGTTGGTAGTAAAGATAATTTTCTTGTTGCTGTTAAATTTAATGCAAGTATACTTTGATGTTTCGTACGCAGACAAGAAAAGCTGTTAGAGCTTCTTTTAACTCCTTGTTTTTCATTTTGTTCAGTGTATTTGCAAAAGAAGTTGATAGTGACCAACCGGTCTAAATTTCCTTAGAAACATATAAAATAGCTGATGGGAGTTTTCTTTGAACAATGGACGTCTTACCCACTTTATTTCAGATTATATGAAACTGGTTATGAATTTACAGTTGATTTCTGAATGTTATAGAAAGACGATCTTTTCTTCACATGAAGATTAAGAAGAGATTTGACTCCTTAATATAGGGCCAATACTAATTGAATTCTATCTTGCATTAGCTTCTCGTGGATCCGGAAAGCATCCTCAGCTCATGCCCTCAACTCCGAGATGGGCAGTGGCCAATGGTGCAGGTGTAATATTGAGCGTGTGTGACGAGGAAGTTGCTCGCTACGAGACAGCTACTTTAACAGCTGTTGCTGTTCCTGCACTTCTACTTCCGCCACCAACAACAGCTTTGGATGAGCATTTAGTTGCTGGGCTGCCAGCTCTTGAGCCATATGCGCGTTTATTTCACAGGTCATGACGGGCTCCCATGTGTTTTAGCCACAAAAGGATCCTTTTTATGTGTCTGAATTTTATTTTTTTAATATGATTATTAATTTGTTGATATTTTGTTAGGTATTATGCCATTGCTACTCCAAGTGCCACCCAAAGACTTCTTCTTGGACTTCTCGAAGCACCGCCATCATGGGCTCCTGACGCACTTGATGCCGCTGTACAACTTGTGGAACTCCTTCGGGCTGCTGAAGATTATGCGTCTGGAATAAGGGTAAAGATGGATACTAATCATTTCAAGTTTTTAACTATCTTGTCATGTTATGCTGGTGATTTATCTCACAGTGACTTACCTATCTGCATAGTGTTTTAACATTTGTGCGTAGACAACAACATGAACAATCCCTTTCCAAGAGTTGCCTTCAGTACCTTAAGATTCTGTAGACTGATTTACGTGGTATGAGTTTCGGATAGGTAGACTCTGGTATTGTCCTTTGCCAACCATAGATTCTTCAGTTGAAAATACTTAATAAAACTCACTGCTCGACACAAGAATAGATTATCCATTGTCCGTGATTCACATTCACAAACCAGTTTTCATCTTGAAGCCTGTTGCACCTACCAATCCAAGTTTTTGCTTGGCTACTTTCTCATAATAATGACAACAAGTTTGGTGGGCTGCGAAGAAAGTTACCTAATTGGTGGTTTTTATGCAAGAGGAATGCAGTGAATTTAGACTGCCTGTTTCTAAATTGTCATGTGGCTTTGGTCTCAGTTAGTGAAAGCTGTTCGGTACAACATCATGGTTCCTCCAAAACCAGCCTCTTCAGTAGTGGAAAAGCTTCCAGCCTTTATAGTGGTTGCAGTGCCAACGCGTTGAGGAGTTGTTTGGTTTTAGATATCTTTTAGCTGCTTTCATTTTTAAGACAAGATCTATAAGATGTAGACATATTGTGGGACAGAGTGTGGTTTTGGGCCTTTGGATCCATACTTCATTGTTTTTTCTCAATGCCCTCTTATTTATTTATTTTTGATGAAATAAGTATTCTCTCACAAATAAAGTTATGTTCTTGAACTGTTTGTATTCTCCTTTGTGCTTTTTTCATGGATAAACACATAAATATTCAGCAGCTTTTGAGTCTTTTCAATTAACTGATATTGCAAAATTGGATTTTGTTTGATTGGGATTGCATTTTGTTCTTGTATGTAGCTTCCTAGAAACTGGATGCATTTGCATTTCTTGCGTGCGATTGGGACGGCAATGTCCATGAGAGCAGGTATAGCTGCTGATGCAGCAGCAGCTTTACTTTTTCGCATCCTCTCCCAGCCTGCGTTGCTTTTTCCTCCTCTAAGGCAAGTTGAGGGAGTTGAAGTTCAACATGAACCTTTGGACGGTTATATCTCATCCTACAGTAAGCAGGTATTCTTAATCAAAGTTCTTTACTTTTTGTGTTTCTCATGTACATCGAGCGAACCTAATAAAATCTCATGTTGTATTGAACCAGATAGAAGTTCCTGCTGCTGAGGCAACTATTGAAGCTACTGCCCAAGGGATTGCATCAATGCTTTGTGCTCATGGACCTGATGTTGAATGGAGAATATGTACAATATGGGAGGCTGCTTATGGCCTGATTCCTTTGAGTTCCTCAGCCGTCGATCTTCCAGAAATTGTTGTTGCCACTCCATTGCAACCGCCAGTTTTGTCATGGAATCTATACATTCCTCTCCTTAAGGTCTTGGAATATCTTCCTCGTGGAAGTCCATCTGAAGCATGTCTCATGAAGATTTTTGTTTCCACTGTGGAAGCGATTTTGCAGAGAACTTTTCCGTCTGAGTCCTCAATGGAACAAAACAGAAAAACAAGATACTTTTCCGGCTTAGCCTCTGCATCAAAAAACCTAGCTGTGGCAGAGCTTCGTACAATGGTTCATTCACTATTCTTGGAATCATGTGCCTCAGTAGAGCTTGCTTCGCGTCTATTGTTTGTTGTATTGACTGTATGCGTTAGTCATGAGGCTCAATTCAAAAAGAACAAGAGGCCCAGAATTGAAGAAAGTTATCAATCTAATGAACTTACCGAGGACTCACAGGACATGTCTGATAAGGTGAAAGTAATCCGAAGAAAAATGACTAAGAAACAAGGGCCTGTTGCGGCATTTGATTCCTACGTTCTTGCTGCTGTTTGTGCTCTTGCTTGTGAGCTGCAGTTATTCCCTTTTGTTTCAAAGGGAGGTAATCACTCACATTCCAAAGATACAAAGAACGATGCCAAACCCATGAAAATAAATGGAACTTGCAATGACTTTCGGATTAGTGTCGACTCGGCAATCTGTCACACTCGTAGAATCTTAGCAATTCTGGAGGCGCTTTTTTCATTAGAGCCATCTTCTCTTGGCACCTCTTGGAGTTACAGCTCAATTGAGATAGTGGCTGCAGCTATGGTTGCAGCTCATGTTTCCGAGTTGTTTAGATGGTCAAAGGCTTGCATGCATGCTCTATCAGTCCTGATGAGATGCAAGTTAGACACTGAAATATACACCAGGGCATCATCACTATACAACCTCATTGATATACACAGCAAAGAAGTTGCATCAATTGTCAATAAGGCCGAGCCTCTGGAAGCACACTTGTTTCATGCACCAGTTTGGAAGGAGTCCCCGTCGTGTTCTGATGGCAGAAAACAAGACCAATACAAAAATGGTAGGACCTTAGATTCGGGGCAGCCGTCGTCTTTTACGCAATGCAAGGGTTCAACCGAATCAGACTCTAAACATAAATCTGTGAGTTCATCACATCCAAATGGAGTCTCTAATACTTTGGGTAAAGGTATTGCAAGCTTCCCACTAGATGCTTCGGATTTAGCCAACTTCCTCACCAAGGACAGGCACATAGGATTTAACTGCAGTGCACAAGTTCTTCTGGGATCTATGCTGGCAGAGAAACAAGAGCTATGTTTCTCTGTTGTTTCACTACTGTGGTACAAGTTGATTTCAGCCCCAGAAACCAAACCTACTGCAGAAAGCACTTCCGCACAACAAGGATGGAGACAGGTAAATTTACATATCCTATGCTGTTAAAGTGTTGGCCTTTTTCATGCCCTAACAAATAAGGAAATGAATTCTCTTTGTATTTATATCGCAGGTTTTGAAAACTACTGTACTAGTTTTTCTTATTCTAGACCATTAGATTTTGGCCAGATTTGAATGCATTTTTATTCAGATGTGATACTGAGTTTAGAAATGCATGGTACTAGTATAGCTCCCCTATCATAGAAGATCCCAGTAATGTTATGTTTATAGGAAACACCATTCAAGTGCTTGTGATGTCGGACCAAGATGATTAAAGAAATAGAGAGAGAAAGGGACAGAGGAGAGAAGAATCAAGGGAGAAATAGAAGAATTTAGAGAGAAGGGAGAATAAGAGGGAGGAAATATCAGTATTCAATTAATCATCAGAGTCTTAACTGAAAAATACAAATATCATCTCTATTTATAGACTCCGAAAATCTAATAATAGAACAAACATAACTAAATATTCAAATAGCTTAGATAGATCCTAAATAATCCTAGTAGATAAACATATATTTTGAATTCCTAATAATTCCTATTTTGTTCCTCATCAACGTGATTTTTTTTCCTTTTCCTGTAATTGCTTCTACTACGACAGGTTTTAATGTCATGGAATGAAGCATATCCTCCCCCCCCGGCCCCCTCATTTTCCACTAAAAAGATTTTCCATTGTTTATGATTTTCTGGACATTCAATTTACTCCTCCCTTATGGAGAAGATGATCAATTTTTTTTTTTAGTGGAATATGCAACATGTAGTTTGAAAGAAAAGAAAATGCATATTATCAGGAAATACGAGTCTCCTGTTTGAGCTGCAACCCATCTAAATGACCGAAAGAACTTGGTCAAAAGGTGTAGCACATATTGAATGCTTATGTATATCCACTATACACATCCTTCAAACATTTCTAGTAACGTATGTACTCATACTACCTAAATATAAACATCTCTCAAATTTCTCTTGATCTTCTTCGTTCTGAATCTCTTCTGAAATCCTAATTACGACGGCAATGTTTCCAAAAAAAAAAAGAAAAAAAAAGAAGATAGCAATGAGCTAAATATTGGTATAACCTACATTGATGCTTTCCTCTTCTTATGAAGATTTAGCTCCTCCCTGCTTGGTAACATTTTCATATGTTTTCTCAAACAATACATGTAGATGGAATGGTCTTATTGGACCCACTTGAAATTTAACATTGTTAAAGTTTAAAACTATTGTTGGCCCACCTTAGCTTAAGCTTTTAGGGTGGATTGGTAAACTAACATGGTATCAGAGCGGGAGGTATTGAGTTCAAATCCCCGTAATTGCACTCTTTATCCTCATTTAAAATGTCATCATGTGTTGGGTCTTTAATATATTTCGGACTTAAAATATTCACATGTTAGGCTTTCCAATTAATTTACCCACACGATTGCTCATTGTCCAGCCCACACGTGAGGGGGAGTGTTAAAGTATAAAACTATTGTTGGCACACCTCCTAATAGCTTAAACTTTTAGGATGGATTGGTAAACTAACAAACATTTATAATGGAACAAGAGGAATGGTAGGGGAAAAAAGAAAAGAAACCTGTGAAAGTATCAAGTTGTGTATAAGTAACAAATTTTTATGTTATGTACAGTAACTTCTTGATAGTTGTAAATCAGTAAACTTCTGCTATGTATGTCATTTAGATTGTTATTTATGTTTCCATAAATGAATGTAAAAATTGACCATCTTTATCTTGATTCTAGGTCGTTGATGCATTATGCAATGTTGTATCGGCATCACCAACAAAGGCAGCCACAGCAGTTGTTCTTCAGGTCCAAATTCTGTTCACCGCATAATTGTCAACTAAATGTGTAATATTTAGACGTACTTTTTTGGTCACTAACTTGAACACTTTCTCTTCTTGTTTCAAGTCTTTCGCTTTCAAAAATACCTCTTCTGATGGTGCAAAAACAGGGATTTACTCTCAACATTTTATAACTTAATGTTGGAGGGAGTGTTTGAGTCAGTTGTCCTGTTCAGTGGCTTTCTTTCTGGTTTATTGAATTTCTATGTTTTAATGCGTTCAGTCACTTTTATGGCCTTGTGTCCATATCAGGCGGAGCGGGACTTGCAGCCTTGGATTGCCAAAGATGATGGCCAGAAAATATGGAGAATCAATCAGAGGATTGTGAAGCTGATCGTGGAGCTAATGAGAAACCATGATAGCCCCGAGTCATTGGTAATTTTGGCAAGTGCATCGGATCTGCTTCTACGTGCCACAGATGGGATGCTTGTTGATGGAGAAGCTTGCACTTTACCACAGCTGGAGGTAACATATTTACAAGATCCGTTTCTCTTTGCAGTGACATTGTGTACTGGATTGAACATAGCTTTTTGCAAATACCTTCATCCTCAAAACGACAGTGTTTCGACCACGGATAAGTTCATTGTTCCGTCTCCTATATCCATTAATTCCTTGGGAGTTGGGGACTGGTCTAAATATATCGACCACTTCAATTTAGCTAAAACCAACATGATCTGTTTCTTTGTTTCTTTCCTTGTTTTGCTAAACTACGTTGGTAGAGGTTGGTGTGCCCATTCAATCTCGGGCTACTCTACGGAGCCTGCTAGCACCCGTCTTTTGGGTTATAGCCCACCTGGATTATGCAGTCGTAAATCCATTTTTGTCCTCAATCTCTTTTATTTATTAATTAATTCATTTTGTTTCTGAACATTGCACATAAAAAGTGTCCACCCTTGAACCTTTTTGTTCCATCAAATTTTATCAAATCAGTTTCTAGTTTGGTGTATTTATGATTACCCACCTCTTATTATGTTTCTAATCATCCGTCTTGAAATCCTTAGTTGCGCGATATTTCGTGATGCTTGTTCTTAAGTGCTCAACATTTGCACTATTAATCCTGGATTAGATACCATCTAGTTTTGCAATTCACACTAACCTTCAACAATAATCAACTGATTTCCACTCTACCTGAAAATGGCAGCTCTTGGAAGCAACAGCTAGAGCAGTTCAACCTGTGCTGGAGTTGGGAGAATCCGGGCTGGCTGTTGCTGATGGCCTCGCAAACTTGTTGAAGGTAAACGCATACCCTTTATTGATTAATCCTGGCTTTATCCTAGACTGAATTAAAGATGTACTGGAAGTTTCTAATACTAAAAAATAGAACAGTGCTAGGGGGCATCAGTGTGCTGAGCACTACACACTAATAGAAGGTGGGTCTCACAATACAGGGTTCGCTTTTATTAGTAATTGTGGTGCTTAACACCGTCTAAGCATCTTTCTAGAAAAATATAGCAGCCTTACAATTTTTTGAATTATGAAGGCAAACTTCTGTTCTTTTACATTAATGCTAAACCTTCATTCATGTGATAACCTTGTTCAATTGCATGCAGTGCCGTCTTCCAGCAACTATCCGATGCCTTTCTCATCCAAGTGCGCATGTCCGTGCCCTGAGCACGTCAGTTCTTCGTGATATTCTGCACACTGGTTCCATCAAAACCAATCACAAACCAGTAGAAATAAACGCTCCCCATGGCCCCTCTTATCAGTACTTTAATCCAGATGACATTAACTGGCATGCCGACATCGAAAAGCGCTTGACATGGGAAGCTCATAGCCGACTCGCAACGGGAATGTCTATTCAATTTCTTGACATTGCAGCCAAGGAATTAGGTTGTACCATCTCCATATGACATCAAGTAGCTTCTGTTCTGGCAATTACTTCTAAGTGTATAATTAATTCTCCAAGTGAGACTTACAAATAGATAAGGACATTTTTAGTTTGCTTTGAAGAATAGTGGTTTGCAGTTGAGTACATATTCATTGTCTTCCAAATATGACTCCTCAAAACGACATTCCAAATTTTTTTTCTTTTGGCCAGACGTAACAAAGCCTTCAATAATTTAAGGATGATGATTGAGTGAGACTGCAGATAGGGCCTGTTGAGGCTTTATGTTTTGACATTATTTGTATGCTCATCAGGTTTGTTTTGTACTGTATAGGCTCAAGTCTGATCTTTGTCGTACATTATTGGATGTAATTTGCATTTTCTGGTTTCTTTTTTCTTTAAAGACAAAATACCAGCGTGATGCTGGCAGCAATTTTCTTTCTACCAGATTACTTCTTGATGATTTTTTGCTTTCAGAATCTTGGTGGCAGAAATTACGATGTTGATTGGTCCACAAGCATCACGGGAACCAAATTTCACAAACACTAAATATTTCGGATTTGAAGGACAAATAATCGAAGGTATTGGATTAACATTCGTTTAACAGAACAAAGTAAAGAGAAACACAAGATAATTATATTCAAAATTAAGCGTGTAATCTTTCCTCTCAAGAATTTATTCTCTTATTAATTTGAGAGTTTATTTTTGAATGTGGATTGAAGGAGTTTAATTATGAGGTTATCCTCTCTCGAGTCTTACAACTAATAAAATAATCAATGTAAATTAATTTTTAATCATATAAGTCATGTTCATTTCGCCGATTCGAGTTTTACTACAGTAAAAAACTCTCAGAAACAGTCACATTTAACTTTTTTGCTACAATAAAAAGCTCTCACACAAAATTATATTTCAACTCAAATTACAAACTCACATCAGCAAAATGAACGGGCTCATAATATCTTCAAAAACGGTGTCATGTGACTCTTGACCTTTTATCTCTCCGTTGAGTTTGGGCTCAAGAGCTTGGGCTAGGGAGCCTTGGGCTCAAGAGAGTTTGAGCTTGTGAGCTTGGCCCATTTGTTGCACTTTTAAGGAGAACATAGTAAATAAAATTAAATTAAGTAAATAATATATTTTAAAATTATTTAAAATAAATAACAGTTTATGTGATAAATGAATCATTTACGGTTATTAAAAACACTTTTCACGTAAATTTTATTTTTAGAATTGGTAAAAAAAATCACATAAATAAACATTTTTTACCACGCAAGTTATTTTTTACCAGTCGTAAATGAATCATTTACACGGTAAATGATTTATTTACCACTCAAATTGCTATTTACGTCAAATAATTTTAAAATATACTATTTACTTAATTTAGTTTCAAAAGTCTACTATTTACAACAATTTCCCCCGCTTCCTTTTAATTCCTCGGAAAACACCGTCCAAAACCAATTATGTTATGTGTAAAAAAATAATCTGCTAATGAATTTACTTCTTTTCCTTTACGTTTTCTGGCTCTTCCTTGCAGAGAAAAAGCACGATAAAAAATTTCCTAATTTCTTGAGAGTAGTCAATCTTCTAAAGACAGATCCAATTAATCTTCTCTGTGAAGAAATAAAATAAGATAAGAAAATTCTATGAAAGAAAAATTCTGAATCACTATCAAAATATACCTATCTCAGAGGCCTAAAGTTAAATGCCAGATAAGAGTGGTTAAGATAAAAAGCAAAAGGCTGGAAAAATAATATTACTATAATTATGATCACAAGACAAGAAAAAATGTTAAAAATTTAATGGAATTTTCTCCTATCCTCAAGCATCCACTCCCTAGAAGGGATTGAATACCGTGACAAATATAGAAATTACAAAACAAGGATGAAATAAATGGTTACTAATGGAGGTTTTCTAACCTTGGTGACGTAAAAAAAATCCTAAAAATCCTCAGCTTCTATGTTTATCCTAGATGCACTCTTCAGACTTTCCCGTCGAGTTCAGCAGATTCGCCGTGCTTTTGTTGTCTACTTGTAGAAAGAGAGAGGCTTCTGCGCTCTTTTCCGCCAGGCTTAGAAGAGGCGTTGCCATACCAAATCATCCCGACTACCGCAATGACCATACCAAAAACGACTTGTAGAGTCAGACCTTCTCTCCCAAAGAAAAAGAACCCCATGATCAACACAAGGATTGTCTTCATATGGCCGAGTACTTGGAAAGTTACAGCAGTAAACCTGCCAATGCAGATGAACTGGCTGAGGTTGGTTCCCACTGCGATACTACACGACAGAAATATGAACATCTGCAGACACAACAATGCAGAGAGTTGTGATTCCTACAGACAGAATATCTTAAAATACTTTTAGTCCTTAATTGCACTTGTAGCCACAAGAAAAAGACAAAAGACAAGCGAGGAATGCATAAAAAAAGAAAATGCACCTAAATATGTAGACAAAAGACGAAAGTTGAGGAAATAAAAGCTCAGAGAAAACAATTTTTCATGTTTCGGTTGCTAATTTCTAAATTTTCAAGTTATTTGCCCTCGTGGATGAGGTAACCACATTTAATAAGCATGCAAATTCTGCTAATACTTACAATGGCAGGTGTAAACAGAGTGAAAATGATCAGATCAACATTTAAATCAGTAAAGCTCTCAGGAGTAGTCAAAGGAAGTACGGTGGGTCTGAGTAGTGTGTATATGATAGTTTTCGTTCTTTCCTTTCTGCACTTTTTTTCTTTTTAGAAATTTTCGTTTCAGCATTCTTTTTGTTCATTGAGGATTGCTCGTCCCCTTTCCTTTATATTTGATTATATTATCAAGGAGAGGAAGTTGTCTTATCAAAAAATACAAGATGGAAGATACTACAATTTCAGAAATAAAGAAATATCCAAGTAAATTAGACAAATGAGACGTAGGCAGTGCGTCAATTACGCGATACCAAACTCTTGCAAGTGTGTATGTAATTTAAAAAAAAAATGGAAAACAACCACACACACACACACGCACACATTATTGCTGTGTGTATAGATGTATCTATAGCTAAAAATCACGAGGAGATTGTAACCACTTCATTATCATGGCTATATGCTTACTTGAACCAATATATGAATCCCTGTAATTCTTAGGAGGCAGTAACGTTGTGATTAAAGTTTTTAATTATTATCTCTTGTGAAGATTGAAACTCACAATATCTTGTAAAAACTTTGCCATATATCATAAAGATGATGACACTATATAAAAATTGCCATTGAAAAAGAAAAATGCATAATTGATTCAATACTTACCAGAGAGGCTAGGTTATAGTTGTAGGCATCAACTCTTTTATTTGTCAACCAATAGTCAAGGAAGGGGCCTAGAATCAAAAGTGACGCAGCCTGGGCTGGTGCGGTATGTCCCAAGAGGTTGAAAGAACCAAGCGAATACTTCCGTTGGAGGAAGTGCACATACTTCAAACAAGAATTAGATAGGAAAAACAATCAGATAAGCCACAATGAGAAAGTCCAGCAGAACTGAGAGAAATTAGAGTTTTAGAGAACTCTCTAGATAAGTTTGGCAGGCCAACGCTGCAAGCCAATGAGCATTTGGCACCAATGAACACATAAGGCGTACTCATATATCATGTTGTATTCCAGCTAAATCAGCCCAAAAAGTCTGATAAAGCTCAAGAACCATATGCAAGATCTTTTTCAACAATTTTGTTTACACAAGTCATTTCAACCAAACATCACTCACTATAGTTATGGAGGGTTAACACTTGACTGTATGACTTCAGCAGTTTTAGTAGTTGTATTTTGTTTTTCTTTCATTCTTTCTTTAGTGCCTTTCCTTTTCACTGTGAAGAGTTCTTGCCCGTGTTTCCTTTGTCATTTCTTTTATTATCAATGAAAGGTTTTGTTTCTTACAAAAATAAATAAATAAATAAAATAACTGAAATATGAACAACTGTGTTTGAAATATGTAGGTGTGCGGAAGAGAATACTTTAAGGAATAAAAACTTACATACTGTTGTAGTGAAGTGCTCCAAACAGCAATAAAGGCAGCAATGAAGCCTCTGGTGTTAACACTCACATCAGTGACAGTGCAAACACCAACACCCAAGAGAACAACTGCTATGCTTAGTTTTGTGTCTCTTGAGTAACGGATTTTGTCCAAAACAACTTCCAATAAACAGGACACAGGAATCATACTCAGCTTTGCAATCTGCCAGATTATGTTGAAAGAATATGTAAAACCCTCTAATTATAACTAATTAATAGCTAAAACCCAATTGCGCCAAAGTTAAAATATACCTGATAGAATCCTACAGAGTTCCACATTAGACTAACATTCATTCCAACAATGGAGAAGTTAGCAAAGAGAACAAATTTCAGAAGCTCTGGGAAAGGCAGATGAGATGGTTGGATATATCCTAACCATCTAAGGACAACCGTCATAAGAGTAGTGGTGGCAAAATGCATACCAGTTAATGTCGTTGCTGCAACAAAATGAGAATACTTAGTTTATAAAGCAAGTGTATGGCCATTTAAGTAAAAACTTAGTAAGAGGCCGCAAGAAAAGATCATGCTCCATCAGCCAACTCCATCTAACAATTATTTAAGGGTCAACAGCATAACCATCAATCTACTGCTTTTCCAGTTAAAATTATTCATTAGTGGTTAGTTTTCAATAATCATAATATCATACAAAGTAATTAGTTAATTTCAGCGGCGTCTTTTAGAACTGAAAACCGATCTCACTGTACCAATGCCACGTTTTCATGGTGTACCAAGCCTTTGTTGCAAACCAAAACGTAGAACTTCGAGAGAACTTTTTCAAGCATGAGGTCATTTTTAGCAAATTGAAGTTGAAGGAAACTAAATACCATTCTGTTTTCATTATTTGGAGGGAAACGTACTTTATAGAAGCGTATCACATAAATTAGGAGTCGTTTGCATATTTAGAAGAAACAAACAAAAAGATGAAGAAGATTGCCACTTTTATAAAAGCATCACAAAAAAGAGTGGCAAAAACTATGTTCTCTATAGTTTCTAGTAATAGTAAATCGAAGATGAGGTGTGAAAGCCTAGCAACTTTATAACTCAAGCAAGAACTGAGGAGAACAAGACCATTACAGAGCCCACAGATATAAGCAGAGGAAGCTGGAGAAAAGAAAAAGAGAGAAGCAAACAGCTGAAGGGTGACCACGAGAAGAATGGATTTGCTGTTATAAACTTAAAAAAAACATAGTACAAAGCAGAAACCACTAATGTTGATCCCCAGTGATAAAGCCTGTGGCAAATAAGAAACACCTTCTTCCTTTATTGATAATGGAAATCAATACAGAGGAAAGAGACCAAGTGTCCTCAAGAAAGCTAAAACCAAAATAGAAAAAACAGGTTAAAACAGGACAACTTCCGTCTTGCTAACAATATTTCGAAAAGAAAATAAAATGAAACCGGTGGTCAAGAAAAATAATCACAAACCCATTACACTTTATTCAGGTACAAATACAATTATGAGTTCCCATACACTAAACACGGATCCTCACAGGTTCACCATCTGATCTCAACTCAAATATCGTTTTCTCAAACAAAATCAGTTTAACCGTAACAATAATAGTGAACAAATAAAAACAGTACTTGTTCATAAGAGTATTTCCCATATTTTAGAGACTGATTCAACATAGACAAAAAGGTATTCCAAAAAAAAAAAAAATTATAATAACAAGGTAAAAAAGCATAGTAGTGAAGGAACATCAAGATAAAATGATGAACAGAAATTACCAAAACTGAAGCCATAAGTAGCCATAAGAGCTTTGTTGACAATTATTATCCCAACAGAAGTGACGACATTGAACATCCATGTGGCTGCATCCACTGCTGCCTTCTTATCAGCCTTGCTAGCTGGAGCCATTTTTTTATGCTTTTTCGTTATTGATTAATATCGTTTTTATCTCTCAGCCTCCATAAAGAAAACCACTCACGTCCATAAAAAGTCCAACAAGTCCTCCACTAGGTCTTGCAACAAACTACTCTGAAAATAGATAAACAAATAAATAATAAGGCAATAAATAAGACTACACAAATTTCATAATTGGTCTGAAACTAGGTACCAAGAGCAAACAATATATACAATCTCCAAGCAGAAAACAACAATTGACACTAATCAGTTCCAGAATCCGCAGATTTAGTTTTTCTAATTACCAAGAGTGAATGCATTCAGATATCCGTAGCTAGATTTAAGATTTATGTACCAAAAGATGTATCAATACATGCTGAATTTGTATAGATTAATCACTCTGCTTAGGGCACATATGTTCCTACTATTATGGGGGACATGTAGGGATAATGTTGCAACTACTCAGTACGTTTTCGAGTAAGGACAAGATCCATCATTTATCAAAAAAAAAAAAAAAGGTACTAGTTCATCATGATAACTAATTAATTATTAACACATCATTATACAAAGGCATTTTCATATATATATTTATATATATATATATATAGATATATATATATATTCAAAAAGAAAAACCATTGTATGTAGTTGTAGATCCATACTTGACATAAAATATATTCAATAAATTATCTACCACCAAAAAACTCGTAATTTTGTTGAATTATTTGCCTAGCTCCATCCAGGTCAGAAATCACAACAGGGAAAACAAACTAACACGAAATGGAAACAATCACCATAAATCAAATCCACTCAAATTCCAGATCAACCACATTATGGAACTGGAGAACAGATCCAAATCAGAATTGAAATACGAAAACCTCAAAGACGAGTACAATTCAGCAGATCTGATAACGAAAAAACTGATCAAACACCAGGAATTTCCGAATCGCAAACAGGAATCGAAAACTCACCGTGGTAATTGAATTGAACTGAATTGAATCCAGAGAGCGAGGACTGGGAGTATGGCGAGACAGTTTGTGATGCAAATAGTAAAAGAGAGAGAGAGAGTAGAGAGAGAAAGGGGGATTTTGGAGTTTGGTTGTTAAGGTGATTGGTGTGGTGTGTTTTTAGTTTAGTTTTGGCATCCCGAAATAAAATGTATCTCCAGATTTTAGAGTGAGAATGACTGAATGAGTGAGAGAGAGACAGAGAGATTCCGTTAGGCAACGAAGAGCTCGTGGAGGTGTATGTGATGTGTTACCGCCACCCTATAGGGAGGAAACGACATCATGTAAATGAAATGTTGGTTTATTTATGGGAAGTTTGTTGAACTTAAACCTGGATTTTTGTCTTTTATCCTTATTAATATCCTTTTAGTTAATATATTTATTTAATTAAAAAATAGTAATTAAGAATAAAAAATAAAAATTAATTGTCTCTTTTTTCTATTATTTATTTTTTTAAGGTGAATTAGATAGTGATTAGTGATCATAATCACCCATGTGGATGGGGTTCCATTTCACCAATTCGAGTTTTCAGTTTTAAGTTTCTACAGTAAAAATTCTCAAAAAATGTCACATCTAATTTTTTCTGTTACAGTGAAAAGCTCTCAGAAAATGTCACATCTCAGCTCGAATTAAAAATTCGAATTCACGAAGTGAACGAGGCCTTTATAATTTCTGCACCAAATTTAGACTTTTTTCTTTTTTCTTTTTCCTACAGCTTATTTTAAATAATAATTTGGTAAGTTGAGAAAAGAAATAGTTAGTTCTTTGATTATGAATCTGTTCTGGTGGTTTTTTCTTCTCTTTATATTTTTTTTTCAAATAAAAAAACAATATTTATATGGGTTCAGGGTAAAATCGCAAATAAGATGAACTCAAAACTCTAGTATCGTGTGCAATTGGTCTCACAGTAATAAATAATGCAAGTTGTGGAAAATAAAGAGCATGGGATAGAATGGTTTACCTCTAAGAAAAATATCTAAAAAGTTTGTAAAACATAAAAAAATAGATTTTGAAGATTTTCCATAATCATGATTGGTCTCACAACGCTGTATTAAAAAAATTAATTATTATCTATTGACATATTTTCATATGTCGTAGGGTTTATGCCTTTCACTTTATTAATAATAAATAAAATTATTATGATTTAAATTTTAGTAGGCACATATATGTATTCATGTACTCAACCACTTAAATTAGCCTCAATTGATTAATTAATTTCTTTTATGATCAAGAATTTCAAAATGTTTTGATTATTCTTACTATTCTCCTTTTAAATCAAAGAGCGGGTAAGTACAGTTAAATTTTCTCAGAATTTTTAACGCTTCAAGAACATGGATAAAAAATCTCCTTCCAATCCTTTTTGGTTATGAACAACCCGAAATGAGTGTGCTTGACTGTTCTCGAAAGAGACCAAAAAAATGTTGTTTTATAAGGAAATTTTTTAAAAAAGAAAATGAGACAAATATTCACTCTTTATTTTTACTCTTTATTTTTAATTAATACTCTTTTAATCAAATATTATATTAGTCAAATAATATTAATTAAAAATAAATAATAAAAATCTAGACTCATACACTTCTAAAATACGTTTGGTTTATGGATTAGAAGAATCATAAGATTATAATCATTTTTAATTTACGTGTATTTTTTATGAGAGAAAATACTGTAATGAATTATGAATCATGATTCGATTCAGGGTAAATTCCCTTACCAAACCAGTAGATTTTGAGCCTAGATCTTTGGCCCAGCCCAGTGTAGGCCAATAAATGGCCTTCGGGCCTGTTGGACTCGGCTCAAATTGATAGCTCCATATATCTCATATTCTCTTTATTCCTCTATTTTTTAAAATGAGTATTTATATTTACACTTAAAAAAATATATTAATACATCCACCAAATTATAATTTATATTTATTATAATTTTATCCTACATTGTAATTAATATCCTCATACATCAACCATAAATATAAACGGTATTGCTTTTCAAAAAAAATAAAAAAGCATACACCCACGTCATTATAATAAGAAAGTATTTTTTAAAGAATTAAAAAAACAACGTAACGCACAGAAGACAATTTGGAACATCACATACTTCAAAGCATTCTTCAAATGAATAACCTTTTTTTTTTTGTTATAACTAATTTTATTTAATAAGAAATTGTATTTAATGATGATGAATTTTGTAGAACGTTTAAAAAAAAGAAATGCAATAAATTTTAATCCTTCATTATTTGAAGAATAACATACTTGATTGTTCTCTGAACTCTAATATAAAGATTAAAAAAAAACCTAACATAAAGTTAGGTGATAAATGAAAAAAAAAACTTTAATGTATATAAGAACAATAATTGTTTGAAAAACTGCAGCATGCAATGGTATATTAGTAGTATTATGTGCGATTTCACAGTCATTGTAGGAGTCAAAAGAATTATCAGTACAAAACGAAAAACTTAAGCTAAAAAGTTTATAAATAAAACTGTTTCAAAATAATAACACAAGATGTTGTATAGTTTTTCATGAACCAAATCAAGATTAAAATTAGAGTGGGAGTATAAGAGGGGTTAAATTATGTATTATAAAAATAATATATGCATTAACAGAGTATTAATTAGTGGGAATACTTATAAATTTTTGAAGTGCAAATATAATCACTCTTTCAAATTTTTTGTGTAGGTCTTTGAGCGTTCACAGAGACATAAACTATTAATAAATCAGAAGATTTACGAGATTCACATTGATAAATGACAACGATTGATGGCAATGATCACGCGGTGATAATTATAAAAATAAAAATAAGAATTTTATTGTAGGATATGTTGAAAAAAGAAAAACCTACCACAGTACTTTATTTGTATTAGTATTAACGTATCTGATCTATCATATTTACATACTTTTTACTTTATTGTATTTTACATACCGTTCAGTTCGTTAATTCGAGTTTTTAATTTAAATTTAGATGTGATTTTATGTGAAAATTTTATACTGTAGCAAGAAAAAGTTAAATATGACTTTTTATGAGAACTTTTAATTATAGCAAAATTAAAATTAAAAACTCGAATCGATAAAATGAACGATACCTAAGTGATTCTATTGCCACAAGAATTGAGTTCATTGCATTGGCGCACCTTGACCTTTCAGCGTCTAATAACTTTTGGACACTAAACTTTCAATTTTAATAAATAACACCTTATATTTTAAAATTCATTGTATTTTGGTCCAATAATTAACGGAGGTTAATTAATAGACAAAAATTGCCCTAAATTCTTACACAACGCATTCTAAATTTTTCGTTGGTTGACAAATTGAATTACGAACTATTTCAAATTTTAGTATTTCATTCCTTGATTGCCATCTATTAATTGACATCCCTAACTACAAATGTCAAGGATTATAAAATTTTAGATTCTAGTGTTAAACGTAAAAGTTTGAGTTTGTTTGGTAGGATTAAAAAAATAAATTATCAGTAGTTTTTTAATTTTTTAGTTGTCATTTATATTAAAAATTATTTGTTATATATATTTTTTAATTTAAAGTGATTTTAACTAAATTTAGCAAAATAAGGATGTTTGGTACATAGATTCGTTCCTTGATTCGAATCATAGTTCGTGGTTTGTTACAGTATTTTTTCTCACAAAAAATACACGTAAATAAAAAATAATTATAATCACATGGTTCGAATCTATGAACTAAACGTCTCAGACATTAGTAACGTATATGATGTTTATTTTAAGAATTCATTTTTGATTCTAAATTATAATTTTTAAATTTTTATAGTATTTTTCTTTTAAAAAAATTTAAAATTTAAAAATTAAAATTTTGATTTATAGCATGTACCAGAAGTGTTCCTGAACCTAATAGGCAAATGACGTGTCCTTGCTTTAACTTTTGCTCCGTAACATGGTAAAGTACAAAACGCCCACAGGGCGCACACAACACTGCACCAACACAAACAAATTCACTTCCTTAATTTTCTCCTTTCTATTACCTTCTCTTTCGTCCGATCTTAATTCTATTCACTTCTGATTTTTTCCTTCTCTTTCTTCCGA